GGTGGGGAGAACTTCCCAACCCAACTCTGATTGACGAGTGAAGGGCTTGATTTAAATATTCCAGTTGCTGACTATAGATCTCTGCATTGACAGTTTGTTGTGGATTGAGGAGTTTGAAATGAATTACTCCTTTGATATCCCACCAAATGCAAAGCATCGCTTTTTGCGGATGGAATCCAGGTTTTTGGGTTTGAAGTGGTTTTTGTCTAGGACTGAGCCATTATTTTTGGTATTTAATATTTGCATAGAGAATCAATTTTCCAGCACTGGTGACACTTCTGTCCAAAAATGGTTCACGCGCATTACTCGCCAGAAGGGTCGAAGCAACATTCACACATTCAACACAGTGATCATCGGAGAGTTCTTGAGGCACACAAACAGCTTCTTTATAGAGTTTTCCCATATTCCTTAAATTCACACATTCACACATTCAACACAGTGATCATCGGAGAGTTCTTGAGGCACACAAACAGCTTCTTTATAGAGTTTTCCCATATTCCTTAAATTCTTACCTATTGTTTCATGAGACATATGCAATTTCAGGGCCATTTCATGAGTGTGTTGTCTTGGGTGAGACTCAACAAGTGTCTTCAGAGCATCAATATCAATTCCAATATATCAGCCCCTGCCATCACAGTTTTTAAGGCTAAAGTCACCTGAACAGAATTTGGTGAACCATCGTTGACACTTGCGAACGTTCAAAACATTTCCATAAACTCCTTTGATATTCTGTGTGGCTACAGAGGCGTTGTTTCCCTTCTTGTATTCAAACAGCATTATGTGCCGAATCTGTGTCTTATCGTGTGCTATCACTATAAGGGATTAGAGTAAACTAAACTTTACACATTACATAGGCTACATTAAGTGACGTTTAGGTGGTTTGTTTAACTATTATACACGATGTACGTTTTTTTTGGGGGGTGGTAATGAAAGTGTTCCAAAACGCAACATTAATTTCTTGACGACCTAATACCTCACTAGCTGTATTTTGAAATCTTCCTGTGGATTAGCGACTGGGAACCGCTGCTCTAGAAGGCTTAAGTGTGATTAAGCTAGTTTCTAAACATCTTCAAAGTTCAAATTTGTATGTAATAATGCATTGTAGTTAACCTTGTTGTTCGTAGTTCAAATCAATACTTTTGACAATTCACAAGTTACCACTTTTATTTTTTTTTCTTTCTATTGAGAAAGAATTGTTAAATTTATTATGAAATTGGTGTCATTTTGTTCAAGGACTAGTCGCATTTCACATGGTCATCAGGCTGTGAACAAGAATAATATCAACAAAACATCAGATTTAAAGAATAACATGAGAAAATAAGTAAACTAAAGGGTTGAGTATGTTATATAAAATAATTTTAAATATGCAAATCAGCATGACACTTGACAACCATAGCTGATGTAAAGTTACAGAGGAACAGAAAGTATCAGAACTACATTTTAACATTGTCTGCCATTTCATATGTAGCATGATGCCACCAAAAACTGATTTATTTTTAGAATACTTAACCCTTTTTGACACAAAATATTCATACACTAAGATCATAAAATTGTATTCAGATTGTAGATTTAGGATTTTTGCAATGGGATTATACCTTGTACTTCGTGACTTTGGAAAACAAAGGCACATGGGTCAACTTGGAGCACTAAAATCATTTAGACAGAGACCTGCAACAAATTATACCTCAGCTATTGTAAGCAAAATGCAGTGCCTTGTAATGAGTAAGAATGCACAAATACAAAAGTCAGTGGTAATAACTCTCCACATATCCCAGGCAAAAGCATGCAACATACTAAGGAAAGATTTCTGTCTGGAAACAAGACCAACAGGATATTGGTTCATCAAGATAAGGCTTTCAATTATACCTCCCATTCAATTGTCATTTGCCTCAAGCAGCTGGATAATAAAACAGGTATTCATGCTATTTCATATGAAGGCATATTGGCCAAGTTATGGATTTCTTTGTGATCAAACTGTTGAAATGGGTAATTTTCCTCATACACTTTGACAGATTATGGAAAGTAAACAGGGAGAAGTGATGTGTTTTGGACATGACAGCCTTACAAGGATCCTTTATGCAATAGAAACTATGTTGCAGAGCCATTGTCAAGATGTATGGTTATCACACAGAGCATCAACAGACATAGCAGCATGAAATGTAATGATGTAGTGAGGCTCCAAAATTGTTTTAATATAACTTACTCAGCAGTGTGTTAAATTACTTATATTTTAGAAAATCTGACTAATAGAACATTCAACAAACATGGCAAAATATGCAATGTTATGAAATACAAATACTGTAATTATTTCTTTGTGATGTTTTGTTAACTTGACATGCTGTATTTTGTGTTTATTGGCTTGTTTGCTGAATCTTTTTCTGTGTTATCCTTCAATACTGCTTTATATAGGTTGGTGTTTGGTCTTCAAATTTTGTTAACCAACTTTTAAGTAAAGTAAAAATATCAGTTTTATAACTTGGTTATATAATGGCTGAACTTCTTTTCATTTTTATTATTGATTTTTTATTTTTTTTAATTATTTACAATTTCCATTCTGTAAGTTACCTTTGTTGCAGTGCATCATTTCAACCTAATTTGGAAGATATTAGTAATTAGTGTTTGATTCATATTTGCATCCTACATTAACTTATGAATGTAGTTGTTTTCTTATTTGAATAAACTTTGTAATATTTAAAATCAGGAATGGAATATGTTCCTTAGTACAATTGACAGAAAACTGATTAAACCATTGACAAAATGTTGAGAAGTAGATTGACTTATCATTTGTGTGTTAGATTGTGAAAAATGTGAAACAGTTGAATTGACTTCAGTAAATATGAGGAAGTAATGTGAGGTTCAAATATTTGTAACTTTTAGGTTGTCTTTGTGCCTTTATGGATAGTGATGTGTTTGGCTGTGATTGGTGTCTTGTATGCCATCATTTTTGCTAGCATCTTACTTAGGACACCAGAAGTGAGCCCTGAGCAGCGAAGATCCAGCCTTCACTCGGCAATCTCTTACAGTTTAGTAGTTGTCCCTTTGCTAGTGTTTTTGGTAAGTTCCATTAGCATATATAACTTTAGTGTCTTTTTAATGGTGAGTACTTTCAGCTTTATTCCCGCTGTTGTTGTTTTGTATAATAATTCTATTGAAAATTATTACTCTGCAGTAATTATTTGTTTTGTTCTTTTCTGCCATAAATATTTAAGTTTAATTTCATTTACAGGTTTTCCTTTGTAAATTTGATTTATGCCTAATTGCTTTTCTTAAATTTTTAAGTATTTCTGTTAGGCCTTTCTACTCTTCTGACTGTTAAACGTTTTGTTCTGTTCAACTAATTTTTGTGGTTATTTGTTTCACATAAATTGAAATATTTGAGAAACACGAGTAGACTTAGAAAGTAAAAATTTGTTGTCATTTGCCAGCTGTAACATCTGTTACTATATATGTTGAGAAATTTTGTTTTTTGTGTTTACTTTTATCACTTTCAAACATTTTAATTCAACATACCTTAATACTTCTCTACCACTGGTTCCCAAACTTTTTTTCACTGAAGACACCCTAACCCATTTTCCTTGATTTGTGCGACACTCCTGCTGCACATGCAATATTGTTTTTTATGTACTTAATTATCTTTCTTTTTGTAGTTGAAAGTCAATGTTATTTTCTTTTACTGGAGTCATAGAAGTTCTATAGTGGTCCATCAGAGGTAGCATTAAAATCGCTTAATATCTTGCTTAATTATTAGAGTAATTAAATTCCTTTATACTTTTTACATACTATTTTATTTAATTATATATTCTTAATCAATGGTTATGTATTCCTCATTATTAAGCATTTGATAGTATTAACGGGTAGAAGAGAGTATCTTAGTTTTCGTATTAAATATACTGTGGATGTACTTGCAACACCCTTAGCAACTTGCTATGACACATAGTTTGGAAATCATTGTTCTGTACAGTTTAATTTTATGATTAATTACACTTTTGTTGATGGTATTGTTTTGTTAAATACTCTTAAGAGTTTAAATGCTGACCTCTCACTGAATAACTAGAATTTTTTTAAAGTTTAAATGATGTGCTTTGGTTAATTGTTTTTTAAATGTTTAATGGTGTTGATGTATGGTTTATTTTATGGCTACATCAGTAGTATTCTCAAAGTTATTGTTTGTCATTGTCAATTTTATGGTAAGTGTTGAAGTTTTTTAAGTGGAGATATCTGAAGTTTAATTATTATGTGGAGTTCTCTGTAAATATTCTGAAAGTTTAATGTTTGATCTCAAATGCTAGTAGTCTTTGCAACTTCTCTTCTAAGCTACAGTTTTGTAGGGGAGCTTTAAAATATGATTATATTAAATGTGAAATTAATCTATGCCTAATGTAGTAAAATATTTACCTTTTTATGTTAATCATAATGTTATTTCATGTTGCATTATATCTTGTACACATACAGGTGCTTTTGTCGAATAAGTTGGACAATGACAGTGTGTTAAGTTTCATAGCAACATGTATACCGTTGTATTTCACTTTCCTGGTTCTGATTCTTTTGTCATTTGGTTCAAAGGGAAGCAACCATTGTAAGTTGTTGATTTAGTTTATTGTTTTTTTAACCCTTAATAATCGTAACTGTTATGAAATTATGAACTTAAGTTATCAAAAACTGTATATTCAGTGTCAGAGTTAACACGGTAAAGACCCGTTGGATGTTTTATTTTGTGTTATTTTCATCTTTCTTGTGTTGAAAAAAGTTCAGACTGAATCCTGTAAATTGAAGTATTGCTAAAGCATAGATTAAGGCTTAAATATATATTTATCAGGTTCTAAAATATAACCACATCCTTTCTTGCCGGTTCAGTGGAAAGTCTGAGTGCTTATGATGTTAAAATTCAGGGTTAAACTTATGTGGTGGGCACCGTACAAGATAGTCCATTTTGTGGCTTTGTGCATAAAAATACTAAAGCAACAGTTTATTAAACATGTACTACTTGGTAAAGAAAATATTATACCTTGTAAGTAAGTAAAAAAATTAATGCTTATTTTATGGCAGTTGGTTAATAATCTCAGCAGATTATTCATTACAGATAATTCCCTGAAAATCTACAGCTGTGAGTTACAAAGTTAATTCACATTTTATCTTACTTTTTTTCACTGTTGGTTTGACATTTGTTAATTATTATTATTTCCACTCTAAAATATGAATAATATGAGAGTAAAAACATTTTAGAACATCTGAGGATTGTGGGTTTGAATCACCGTCCCCCTTTCAGCCATGGGGTGTTATAACGTGATGGTCAATCCCACTATTCGTTGGTAAAAGAGTAGCCCAAGAGTTGGCTGTGGGTGGTGATGACTAGCTGCTTTCCCTCTAGTCTTACACTGCTAAATTAGGGATGGCTAACGCAGATAGCCCTCGTGTAGCTTTGCACAAAATTCAAAAACAAACAAAACAAACTAACTTTTCCCTGTTGGTTTGACATTTATTAATTATTATTACTTCCACTTTAAAATATGAATTTGAGAATTCAGTAAAACACTAATTTTCCTACTCATGGATACTTAATCTAAGGCTAATTCACATTATACTTAAAAACTACTATAAACTAATTATTGTTTTGCTTTCGATACCCTTGGTGGCAAAGCACAGACAGCCCATTGTTTAGCTTTTGTGCTTAACAACAAACAGAAATTATAATTTATATTTCAGAGCAAAATTTTATACTTGTAATCTAAAACTTCATTAGATTAGAAGATTGGGTTAAAATAATGCATGTAACTTGTATCATAACAGGCTGGTTGATTTTCAGTTTGGTTTATCTTTCTTTCACAAATGTAGGGTGGTTTGGAATTAGAAAAGATTTCTGCCAGTTTATTCTTGGAGTGTGTCCTCTCCTTCAGGAGTATGGGAACATTTCATACAGCTTGCACAGTAACGAAACGGAAGACTCCAGTCGAGCAGAGGGTAGCACTTCCCAAAGAAAACCTCCCAGTGGGAATTCCAAGCGAGGTGCTAACACTGGTCAGACTGAACCTCGCCCTGTTGTACCTGCTTTATCTATCGAGACTCCAGATTGATAAGGGGCAGGTGATAGAAGATGTGCTGTTCATTTTCTGGTCTTTCACTCATTGTTTTTTAAACAGTGGAGGCTTCAGGAAGAATTATGATGCACCATTGAAGAATGGTATAATCAAGCTTCTGGTTATCAGAAGAGCACTTGCCTCAAAGATACAGTTAACTTGGGTGTAACATGCAGGTTTTTTTCTCAGGTTCAATATCATGTAAGGTTTATGATATGTGCATTAAATATATATCTTGTGTACTACTACTACAAAATATGAATGAAACTTTTGTCTGTTATTACTGTAAATGACTACTGTTAAGAATAATGTGAGTGTATAATTTATAGCACTAACATGTTTATGAAAGTCTTAACCTAGCTGGTTCTAGTGAAAGTTTTACTGCACTTTTGGGGAAAAAAAATCCACAACTATCTAGATTTATAGTGCATATGATAATCCACCTCTTGGTTGGTGGCTTTCAGAAAAAAAAAATCCTGTTTGATTTACTACTCTGAATGACATTTTTTTTTGCTATTCAGAATTTTAACATTTCAACAGCCTTGTGTCAAAATATTCAGTGCTTCTTAGAAAATTAAATTAATACAAGTTGGTATAGAAAACCTATGTATTTGTTGATGAAGCATTTGTGTGTAACTTATCTAGTTAACTTTATAGTAGTTGTAGCCAGTTGTCAGGTTTATTTATCTTAAAAACAGAACAGTAGTGAAAAACTCTGCCCTGAATAGAGTAAATGAAGCTAGAGTTGCCAATTACATTGTAAATGTTTGTTACACATTTTCTATGTCTAATTATAAATACATATTTTGAACAAAAACTTTATTGATAAAAGTTTTATATAATTTTATATTTGTATGGGTTGGGCATTTCCTCTTTCATTGAATATTACAACAAATGTTATAATTGCACCTTAGGAAAACATTTTAAGTCTACAAGTTTTTCTTTGCAAGATGTTTTTATTGGAACTGTAAATGATAGTTGAGTTTAATTCTAGATTTTATCAGGATGTAGTTTATGATACATAATGTGTAGATGCAAATGTTATTTTTTAGTATATATAGTTGGTTCAAATCCAGTTTTTTGAAACAAACTTCATTTGTGAATGTGTTTCTGGGCAGGACCCAAGATACTATGTTGACAGCAGCTTCTCCTGTTCTGCTGGAAAATAAAAAATTGGAGTTTTGCATTTCTATGACAGTTGAAATTATATGTTATATTTTAAGTATTTTTTAAATTTTTGTAGAAAGTTTTAAAGAAGATTGGAGTTAATTTTCAGTCTCTGTAATTCTGGAATCTGAACAGCTACTAGAATAGTTCATTTGTAACCTAGCTAATTCAGTGCTCTAGTAGAAATTTAGTTTACTACAAGCTTTCATTAAAAGAAAACTTCAGCATTTGTCAGTTATAACTTAAATACAAATGGGATGTGAAAGTAAAGATTTTCGTGTTTAAATTTGTAACAATAAAATACTTGGAACATGCTCAGAATTAAAAGATGAAATTTACAGTAAAAAATGACTTGTATTAAATACTGTTGAAAATTAGCTACATAACAGAAATGATCACATTTATAAATAAGTTTATTTCTTAAGAACATATATTTTAAACATATTCTACAAGTAGTGAACTTGCAACACATTGTTAAAACTAGTTATAAAGCTGGATTAATTCAAATATCTACTAAAAGTTTAGCTAAATTTATAAAGATGTTCAGTATACAACTTGTAGTTTAATAAGCAAAATAACTGGTTTCTAAAATGTAAGATTTTTTTGTAGTCGTTTTTCTAAATCTATAAACATAATTTTCTTATGTAGTTAACATAACAGAAATTGCCAATGTAAAAAGAATTCAAGGCACAACAGTAAGGATTTCTGTTTTAATTAGATATGAGCATACCATAAAAAAGTCATTATGAAGACCACATTAGCACCACAAAATATAAGCAAACCTGCAATATTTATTTACATGAACAGTGTTCATTTTCACACATAGTCTTTTACAAGTTACAAATACTTTTTGTTTGATTCCTGAAGATAATTGAGAAACATTTTCTCAACTATAGTTTAGAAAGTTCATTAAACTTATTAAAGTAATTATATTTCTACAAAGAATTTTAATACTTTTTTGATGCATAAAAATGGACACATTTTAGCTCAATGTGATTGAATCGTTTGTTCTTGTTTTTTTTACAGCTTTTGTCATTTTTTTTATTAATTTAAAAGCTTTACTGGTGACTTTACTGTATTATACAATCTGCTATTCTTTTTTAACCAATGTTGAGACAAAAATTTAACCAATCAGGATTTTTCAGACCCTGTATAAGTACATAGGATCGTTCCAAGCTGGATTTTTTAACCTATTTCTTATTTATGACATACTGATGTTTAACCCTGTCTCTTACTTCAACAAACATTATATTCATAATAATTACCAACTACGTTATACATTACTGTCACAGATGTTGTAAGAGTGGGGGCTACTATGCCTCCTCACCATCCCAACAAATATGACATTGATTACAGTTTGTCATTGTTTAATCAGTGCCACTACCCCATCATAGTTCTCAGTACTTCTCACTTTTTACCATGTTTTTCATCTCACACTTTTATTTACCATATTGTACTATTTTAAATATATATTTTCAGTTGCATTTTGCAGCATGTCTAAGTTTAATCCAAAGTGCTTTGGATATGTTTTGAATTGCCACACTTTATAAACTCTTAGCATGCGATTTAAAGCTCTGTACTCATATTTTTAATGTCTTCCTTAATGTCTGACTTTAGAGTGTTGTGCTTCAGTTTAAAAAAAAAGCAGGCATGTTCACAACTGGTTAACATTAATGAAATTTACTCCTAGTATATGTCTGATAAGTCAGGCTTCATGATGAGTTTATATGATTATCTACTCATCATTTTGACATATTCTGAATAAGGAATAAAAACTGAGTTTCATCTACGAAACTAACATAGAATTGAAAATGTTCGACTGGCAACAGGCTTTCACTGTTTTATTGAACATCTTTACTTTTTTTTAAATCCCAGTTCTATTTTTGAAACAGCTGCAGTTAGTTAAACCTGTCACTATTGTTGCATAAGTTAGATGGCTTGGAGATATTGTGCATAACCAACGGCAACATTAACGGTGAAAAACAAAATTACATGTGCACATGTACTGTATACAGGGAATTTGAGTGTACTTGCTTCTTGTGGAGTAATGAAACAACAGCCCACACAAAAACAGCTTGACTTGCTACATAGTTTATAAATGTACATTTGGGTATTAATACATTATGCTTATAAAGATATAATCAAATTCAAATTTATTTTCCAGAAATGGTAGCCAGTAGTAGCACTTTCTTTCAATGTTACTGTGATTTTGTAAAATTGCCTATGTTGTTTCAGCCTTTCATCATCAGCTGAGATGTAAGTTTGGATGTTTCAGTTTGTTCTACTTTTTGAACATGTATATTTTTAACTTATTCAGTGACAACTTGTAAATCTTCATAGGTTTGACATAGAGTAAAAATATTTTCTCTCTCTCTCTCTCTCTATATATATATATATATATATACGCTCAATATTTCTCTTGCACACAAAATGGCACTAATTGTTCGTTATTTTTTAATTATGGTCCGCTAAAAAATGTAACTAAAATATTAATCAGTTTTTTTTCTTTTAAACAAGTACATTAGTAATCCTCCTAATACAGTGGAAATAAAATATTTTATTCAGATATGTGGTTTTTGACATCTGGGATGTCTATCAGTGGGATTTGTTGTTGTTTTAGGTTTAGCACAAGGTGGTCACAGACATGGAAAACCCAGAAGTGTTAGGGAAACTGAGGTTAAGCAGAAAATGTCAGGGAATTTTGAAAAAATTGAAGAAAAAAAACTGAAAATGTTTGGGAAATATATTTTAATGATTTATTGAGTGTCTGTAGCAGACTGGAATCTCAACCAAGAATTGTGATTTGTGTTCAACAATTTAGCTCTAATTCTGGATAGTCTAATGATTAAATTTAACATTCTTTTAATCTATAGATGTAAGTGACGATTGCTTGGATTAACCCTTTTTTCTACTGTTTGAAAATGACATTTTTTATATAGAAAAGTTGGAGAATAAGAAAGTTTGTTTTTGTGGCCACTCTGGTAATTGATTGAAATAAAAAAATCATTAAACTCTGTTTTATTTCAAACCTTTTTGAAATGCTGGAATTTAAATTCTTCAGTGCCATTAGGTGTTCTAGAAATAAAAACATTTAAACAAACATGAATATAGTCTTTAAGTTTGTAGTACACAAAGAGATTTTTTATGAACTGTGTATGTAAGGAAGGGGAAGTATCCTGTGGAGGTGGCCAGTCCTGGAATGACACAAAACATATAAGGGTTAAAAATAATACAGAATTTTAAATAAACGAATCATTTTCTTTTAGTAAAATGTTTTTTTTATTGCACATCTTAATGGTTTCAAAAAACCTTTATAGCTGAAGTATAATACAAATGAAAAGAGAAATCAAAGAATGTAATTTTTTTGAATGCTCAAAGGTCATGTTCAGTTATTTTCTTTATATTTTCACAATTGAAGATATAGTGGCAATGAGCTTATCTTTGAGCTTAATGGCAAGAGATTCTAGCATGCTAAGGTGGAATTCTTTCCATAAATGGAGGATTATGTGGAATAAACTGGAGGTAGATACAACATCACATTTGGTTATACTGTGGTTGGTAATACTAATGGTATTGTAAGTTTCAGTGTTATAGTGTTTCATTGGACTGCAGAGTCTTCTATGATTGATTCAGTATATCCCTGGTTTCACCTCAATCTAGTGAACTAACATATCACTAGCGAGGTGTTCAGTGGATGTTATTTGTCTTTAAAGTTGAAGATCCCTTTTAACTTAGACTATGTTTTAAATATACATTTTAACTGAACTTGTGGATATGGTTGTTGGGCAGTTTACTTCCTAATGTATGAAATAGTGTCTAAGTAGGGTAGGACTAACAGTTTTCTTTGGAACGTCTAACATAACAAATGGGGTATTTAGTTTTACATTTTTGGGCTCTGATGTGCATTATTCTATATAGGAACGACAATAAAAACAGTTTATTCTAAGCATTTGTTTAATGTTCTCAACTTATTCTTCAGAAAGGTTTTAATTTCCTGATGCTTTATATTTTAAACACACTGTATAGCAGGGTTTTAACCAGATTTTCTTGAAGTGGTACAGCGGTATATCTGCGGATTTAAACGCTAAAAACCAGGTTTCGATACTCGTGGTTGGCAGAGCACAGATAGCCCATTGTGTAGTTTTAAACATTGAAGGACATTTTCAAGATGCAAAAAAAGTACCATGAAAGTGGGTTTATCTAAGAATGAGAGTTTGTCATTATGTTGATTTTCAACAGTAAAATTTATATTGTGATGTTTACCATTTAAAAACTGAAGAAATTCATTAACTGACTACACGCTATTAAACACCACAAAAGTGTAATCAACACATCTCCTGTAATACAGAGACTTAAAACGTTCGGGAACAGGTCTGTAACCAAACTATTTCAAAGAAGCACAGAGAAAGGTTAGCAAGGTTGGAGCCCAAAGCCACTCCATCAATCTGTTCATAGATTTTATCGTAAAACATAGAATGTGATTGTTTCGTCGCAAAACGTAAAAGTGTTTTAAAAACATCTTTAATTATACCCTGTACAATTTCATTCCCAACAAACAGAAGGTTAGAACAAAGTTTGATGGTTTCGTTTAAAGGTATTGTTATGTCTCCGTTTGTTAA